ACATGACATTACCATCATCCTCACCGATGCCAACTCCACTCTGTCTAGCAGTGATCGGCTCACAGGCTCACCTGTCGGCACAACCTTTGCTGACAGGTCTACAAACGACAATGGTAACCGCCTTCTCCTTCTCTGCCGCCACAACAACCTCTGTGTTGCCGATACTTGGTTTCCTCGGAAGAAAATCCACCACTGGACATGGTACAGCCCAGATGGCAGAACTAGGAAAGCGCTGGACCATATCCTTATCTCACGACGCTGGATGCCGTTTGTCACCAACTGCCGTGTGTACAGGGGAGCAGAACTAGGCAATACAGACCATCGATTGCTGGTGGCCCAGCTTAAGTTAAAGCTGCGAGCCAACAAGCACGCCAAGACTCAGCCTCACCTGGACTCCTCCCAACTCAGTAATCCAAACATCGCCACAGACTTCAACCGTGCCACCGCCGCATCTTTGACAATCTGGCTACCGACAAGGTGAAAGACTGGCAGATCTTTAAAGAAAGTATAATCCAGTCAGCACACAATGTCCTCGGATGCATTCGATCTTCCCCGAAAAAGCCCTGGATATCGGAGAGAACATTCACAATTATTGACCGGCGGCGTGAGGCCCGACTCCGAGGTGATATGACTGAGTATCGACGACTGAACCGCCAGCGCAATGTGGCTATAGCTGTGGATAGAGAGAAGTTCTGGCAAGCAAAAGCTAATCACCTAGAGTCTGCGGCCAATAACAACAATTTGAGCCGTGTCTTCAGTCTGTTGCACCAAGCTCGTAATGGCCCACGCATAAAGTCAGCCCAGGTGAAAGATTCCGATGGCAATCTTATAACCACTGAAGAAAACTGCCTCAAACGCTGGAAAGAGCACTTCAGTCTTCTTCTGCATCACGGCACCCCCCTATTGGTACCGCCATCTTACCGCCCGCTAATGCTGCAGCCCTTAGTATTGTCTGCAATACTGACCGTATCACACCTGAGGAAGTCAGAGCCGCTTTGAAAAAAGTTAACAAAAAAAGCCCCCGGCATCTGTGGAATAACTGCTGAGATGCTAAAATCCGGGGGTGAAACCATCGTCGAGTGGCTCACCCACATTTTCAATGAGGTGTGGGACACAGAGAGGCTCCCCAGCGACTGGACCAGAGGAGTCATCCTGCCCTTCTGGAAACGCAAAGGTGACAGGTTAGTCTGCGGCAATTACAGAGGCATTACCCTTCTTTCCATCCCCGGCAAGCTCTTTACCAGGATCTTGCTCACTCGTGCTCTCCCAGCCATCAGAAGCAGCCGCCGTCCCCAGCAGGCCGGCTTCATGCCTCAGCGCTCCACAACAGATCAAATCTCCGCAATTCGCTTGCTTATAGAGAAGACCTATGAATTCCGTAAAGATCGCCATCTTTACATTGGGTTCGTAGACTTGAAGGCTGCCTTTGACACTGTCCGCCACTCTTCACTGTGGAGTATCCTACATGCTCTTGGAGCACCACCCAAGATTGTTGCCCTGCTTAAGCTGCTTTATAGTAACACACAGAGCTGTGTCCGCATCAATGGCAGAGACTCAGACTGGTTTTCCATCTCTAGCGGCGTTCGACAGGGCTGTGTGGCTGCCCCTGACCTTTTCAACTGCATCATTGACCATCTGATGTCCAGGGTTTGTGAACGGGCCCCCGGAGTGACCCTAGGCAGCTACCATCTGACTGACCTGGAGTACGCTGACGATACCATCCTGCTCAGCACGTCCCTCAGCCAGCTGAGAGATACTCTGGGCATATACAGTGAGGAGGCTGAGAAGCTTGGCCTCCAGGTGAGCTGGATAAAAACCAAGTACATGTACATCGGTGATGGACCGCATCCAATCCCCCTGCGGTTTGGCAATGATATTGTAGAACCTGTCAGTAATTTTGTATATCTGGGATCCCTAGTGACAAACAACGGGGACCTAAAACCAGAGATTACCCGCAGAAGAGCCCTGGCTGCGTCAGCCCTGCAGTCTCTCTGGAAACCACTCTGGCGGCACCAAACCATCTCCCGCAGGACGAAGCTCCGGATTTATAACTTAGCAGTACTCTCCATCCTGCTCTATGGCTCTGAGACCTGGCCCTTAAATAAGACACTGGCCGCAAGACTTGATGGCTTTGATAGCAGGGCCCTCAGGACCATAGAAAACATCAGGTGGCCCCAGCGGGTTTCCAATCAAGTGCTTAGAGCCCGCACGCGCCAGCCCAGAGCATCTTGTCTGGCTGCGCAACGCCGCACCCGCTGGCTCGGCCACGTCCTCCGTCTCCCTCTTGACCATCCGACAAGAGCCATTCTCCAGTTTGATCCGAGAGCTGCAGGCTGGAGACGACCACGAGGTAAGCCTCGCACCCGATGGCTTGACGTCCTTGCGGGTGACCTCCAACAACACGGAGTCGCTATGGAGGATGCAGAGCAGCTGGCACAAGATCGCCGGCACTGGAAAGAACTGGTTCATCTGGTCGGCTCAACGCACAGGGACGGGATGTGAACCCATACCCAATGCAGGAGCTTAATAATAAAATAAACACATTTTATCGTCTGTCAAGCAAAGGCTTTGACAAATATATTTTTTTGTTAAAAAACTGAATTTTCGAATTTACGTTTTTGAAATTCTCTAGTATATTGTACATTTTTCACTCATACTTCCTTTATAAACACATTATATGCATGCTTATGTTAGCTTAGGGTCTTCTGAATCCATAGATACCAAACACATAGGTCTTCCATCTCCATTACATATTGTTTATAAGCCCAAATGTAAAAATAGAGAAAACGGACCAAAACGGGCTTAGTCCCCAGGGGGTTAATATGCTGATTAATTTATACTAAATATAAATAAAAAAAATAAATGTCTAAAGGTTCCACATGTTAACTTAGATTTAACTTAAAAATAATTGTATTTGCTGCATTCCCCTTTTTTTCATTGCAAAAGTATTACATTTTCAAATGATGTCCCGCGGTCCGAATGGAGCTAAACCCGCCATTTGAATAGTGTAAAATGCGTATACTTTGTGCTTTATTGGGCAGTGAATTTCTAACACAACCCTTGCGTGACGAGGAGCCCAGTTATAGTATAAAGTAAAGAGCTCATTGCAACTATAAATCTGAGGTCTCAGAGTGGTCACATCCAAAGGCAATGTCTTGTTGGATTGTTTGAGACCTCTAGAGAGTAAATAATAGACTCACAACGCTTTTTTTGTGATTTAACTATAGCCCACATTTACCGGAGATTTCCACCCCGAGGGAGGGGCGAAAACACATGATGGAGAAACCCATCTTCAGACTACATCCAGCGTTCAGCTCTCTCCACCCATTAAACAGACAACTAGGCCAATCAATACAAGCGCCTGCCAGACCATGTCCTGCATGCTTCCGCTCGCCACCACGAGTGAGATGAGGAAGGGAACACAACGGGTCTGTTAGCCAATACTACATGTGATGTGAGTAATCTAGCATGGGTCGCAATGGTGAAACTGAGCAATTTCCAGTTGCACTTTATATTAAGTGGCTTTACGTGCTATGTACTTACATTGAACAATAAGTACAATGTATTATTGTGTTCCTGTTGTATTGTAAAACACTTTTGCTGCTATTGAGGTGTGATACGGGTAAGGTTAGGGACAGGTGTGGTGGTATGGGTTGGTTTAAGGGTAGATGGTGTGAGGAGAGGGTCAACTGTGTAATTACAAAATGTAATTACATAAAGTAATTATAGCTGTAATTACTTGCTGGTATTTTTAAAATATAAGTACAAAATGTAAAAACATGTATGTACACAATAAGTCCATTGTATCAAATTATTAATTTCAAATGTAAGTATATAGCACTTAAAGCCACTTAATATAAAGTGGGACCGCACTTTATTTTAAGGTGTCATTGTTACAGTGTTATTATATATTTAAGTACTAAATTAAAAGACTAAATGTACATACTATAGGGGTAGGGTTTGGTTGAGGGTTAGTTGCATGTAATTATGCATAATTTACAGTTATTACTATGGTAAGTACATCTAACAAATTCTTATACCGTGCCTTTAAATTCATCCCTTTTAGTGCACTGTGACCGCAAATATTGCATTGTTCTTAGGCATTTGGCTTCAAAACGTCTAGCGACTTTTGCATTCTGCTTGATTCTATTCCATACAATTTTCGTTTAGGTAACCAAATAGTTGACTTTCTTTTTTTTAATTAGCTTTGCAAATCCCTAGAGTTTTCTGATTAGCACAACCTTTGTGCCAATATTGAGGAGCTTTACATTTAGAATAACTTTTAAGCTATCCCAGATCTAAGGTGCTGCCTTTATAGCGTTAGTTCCAGTGGGAGAAAAGCAGCAACAAAGGAAACACAGAACAGTGAGAGAACATGAAAGCTAATGCAGTACATGGGGGAAAAATGGAGAAGAGGTATTGGGAGTTGAAAGCAGAACCTCGTCACTAGTCATGTGCACCTGCTTTTAGCTGTTGGAGCCTAAAAGCCTAGGAATCCCTGTAAGCCTGGCAAGAACGCGTGATGTCACTGATCAAAGTGGGTTCAACCTAGTACTCCAGTGAGCACCTGAGCTGTAGTAGTCTTTAAAAGGTGGGCACTCTCTCTTATCGCAAGGCATCACAGTCAACAGCTTGTCATTCTGACAGTCGCCCAGTTACACCCATAAGCCAGGGACTCAACCTAACCCTTCTGGAGTTTCGCCAAGTTATCTCATACAGGCGTCTTTTCACATGATTGGCTCGTCCAACCATGCAATTCAACTCCAAGAGCCAATGAATTATCAGCGTTAGGGTCAGATTAGGTGGTTAATGCCACCTAACACTTGAAAAATAGCACACATTATACAAGGCTAATGGAACAAAACTATTATTGAGTATTGAAACAACACAATTGTACTCTGCCAATCAACTGACTGACTGTTATAACAATGACAATTTCAGCAACATTTCTCAAGAATAAGAATTAAAACATTACAATGAGGACAAAAAAATAAACTTACTTGATCCTGTCGGCATCTGATAAGGACTCCTGTAAGAAAGAGCGTTAATTTAGTATGTGCAAACTGAATATCCTCCTACACAAAACAATCAGAGATGTAGGATATATTACAATAAATATTTCACATATCCTTAATACCCACACTGCTGTATATTTGTCTTTTATACCAAGAGGGCAAACATAACATTTCCTCAAAACTTGAATGTGAACTGATCTTGTGTGGCTGTAAAACAATACATTTTTTTATAGGGATGCACCGATATGACAATTTTGCCCGATACCGATAACCGATAATTCTTTATATTTGAAAGCCGATAACCGATATATTACCGATAAGTCTAAATCCAAATTTTTAGACAATTTTTGAGAGCCTGATTATAAAGTCAAGATACAAACACAATTATGATGTTCTTATTTTAATATTGTGTAGCCGATATGACAGACTTGCGCTGCACATTTTGCACTTTAACTTGATTTTCCTTTTTTAAAGTGATTTCAATCATATTTCAAGCATTTGAACAGTGCACATCTAAAGTGCCTCAGCTGAAGGAAATAATACATTAGTTATCGGCTTTTACATATCGGCTAAATGTTCTTGTTGGGCCGATAACGAAAACATTAAAAATGATCATTTATCGGCCGATACCGATAACGTGGCCGATATATCGTGCATCCCTAATTTTTTAAATGTCAAAGCTTCCTAAACAATGTTTTTCCACATTTAATTAGTGATAAATCAGTTCCATATTATTGCACACATAGAAAACAGTTTTGATGGATAGACTTTTGTGTCCTCTAATTTCATTAAAGTAAACATACAGTAGCTAAATTAAAATGAGACCTACACATGTGGCATGTATAAATAAAATATTACAGGTGAAAGTGTATGTGTTGGATAATTCATCTCATAATTTTAATAAAAGCAAGTGACGCAGGGGAAGAATTTGACATCATACTCTGTGCCTTCAGCCAAACAGGTCAATATGCACATGCCAAGTGAAGCAATGAAACTGCTCTGACATCCTGTGTTTTTCTGCCGGCTAAATGTCCACCATATCCCACAGAGCAGAAAATGGCAATATGTCTAAAGTAGAGAAAGGTTGTGAACACTGTTTGTTTAAAGACTAATTATGGTTTTTGTTGTTGATGGATAAAAATCTCTGACAAATAAAACTGCACAGAACAAAAGTTCATGAAACACCGTCACAGAAGTGACAATTGATGATGGGGGTTTTAGTAAACGCTTATATTTAGACAAAATATCCTTAGGAAACACCAGAACAGTGAGATGAGAATACTAGCCATGGCATTGGTACAATCAAGGAAAAGATCAGCCAACATTTTTTAAAAGTCATTCCAAACCTACAGTATATGGCTTTCTATTGTAGAAAACAAAACAATATCTGAGCTACTCATTTATATGTTCTTCAATGCACCTATTGAACCTAACTTGTCTATATATTGTATATTAGGTGGGGATAAAGTCAAAGAAATGTTGACAATAACGTACCTTGATCTGTGATAATATAGAAAAGGCAGTCACTTGTGATAAAGGTGTTTTCTCACTCTCCACAATAATGGTGGGAATCTCACCCTTTGGCATCCTTGATTTATCCATATTGTCCTTTTGCAGGGCTTTGCTCTCTACATGGGGCAACTGGTGGAGTTGCGTCTGGTGTTGAACCCCCCGTGGAGCCCTGTCATCCCCTTCTGAATCATTGCTGCCCCCCACTCGACTGTAAATTGGGCCTTCGGCTTTCGGACGGGCCCCTTCCCGATGGGGATCTGCATGTTGCTTTCCCGACACTCTTTCTGGACTGTCCTCTGCCATGTGCCATGTCTTGGGTCTTGCCTGACTTGATTTCTTGCCGGTTCTGCTATGCGGGAAGCCCATTCATGCCACGGTCTGCACCGCTCTTGCTTTGTGTCATGATGATCCTTGAATTCGTACTGTTGGGGAGTAACGTGGCGTTTGGTTTGGTTCTCTTTTAAAGACATTGTTGAATCGGGAAGGTGTTTCGTTTGGCTCTCTTTTAAAGACAGTGTTGAATCGGGAAGGTTCCCACGCAGTAACTTTAGATTGGCAGGGGTCATCACCCGGTAGGTGATTTCATCCAGAAATTGGGAAAATTTGACCTTTTCCTCAAGAAGCTGCATCTTCCAATCCGGTGGCATAGAGCTGGGAGATGTAGACGATGTGGAAGTAGCACGTCCAGTGGGAGAGACTCGCGCGCCCTTTTCCCTGTCCAAGGACATGCTTTTGGGTTTCTGGCTACGTCCACGACTTTGCCTCCGGCCTAGCACCTCCACCGACTTAGACTTGCGCAGACTATCGGAAGAGCACACCCCCAACTGATGAGAGTGCTTGAGGATGCCCTTGGGTGGATGGGCATCCATCACAAATGCTACATGCGGTGAACGCTGTTTTTCCCTGGGTGCGAATATCTCCGCTTTCTCATTGAAGACCAAAGAGCGCTCGGCACTCCTGCTGGAGTGTGACGGGGAACTGCCTCGAATGCAATGCCGGGACTCTTCCGAGGAGGAGAGATCGTCGTCAGCAGAGAGTGCCAGTAGGTCATCACTACGACTGATAAAGCGGTTCATTCTTTGTTGCCGAAGATGCTTGGGAGGTAGTCTCATGCCGAGAGAACAGTGGCTGAAGATTCGTGGTGGAGGGAGGACACTAAGCTCCAAACTGGACAGACTCGAGACATCCAGCTCGCTGTCAGATGCTTGCGACCATACGGGTTTTTCAGGGCATTGTGGGTAAGGGCCTGTAAATTGTGTACGCTGCAAAATAGGTGCATGATTTCGGGAGAAAGTTACCTGGCAGGGGTCAGGCTGGGCTGACGACGCAGGGCTGCCGGATGGCAAGGCACTCCCACTGACATCTTCTCGAAATACTGGAACAGTGTGGCGAGTCTCGCGGTGCTGCGGAGGTGCCTTTCGGTACGGTTTCCGGGCGGGAGCAGCACTCGTCATTCTGGTAGATCAGTGTGTTTCCATACACCGTCCGTTAGTCCTGCCGAGAGAGAAGTGTGAGAATCCAAAGTAGCAGTAGCCTTCAACCCTGTCCTGTGCAAAAAAGACTGTCCCTAACCTCTCTCTGCAATGTGCCACCCTGCCTCTTCCTCTCTAAGCGGCAACGTCAAAAAAGCAGTTTGAATCAATAGGCTTTGATCAGCACCATTGGGCAGTTAAAGCCCCACAACCAATAAAAACAGCTATGGATGTAACAGACAGCACGAGTTGATACAGAGAAATCGAGGAGCAAAAAAGCCTCAAACATCAGTCTACTGTGAAACGAGGTGTTTATCATAATCTGTGTAGTAAATTGAGGGAAGATGAGAATGGGAGAAGAAAGACAAAAAGAGATACTGGATACAGAGCTTTATAGACACAAATATAGAGGCACGAGGGGGGAAAGTGGACTTGTTCTAAAGCGGGTGATTGATTACATGTTGGAGTGTGTTTCCAATAGACAAACTGTTAAACCAATGCCAGCATGACTCTTATCGATCACACGAAGCTATGTATAGAATTGGAAAAGTGGGTGTGCGGTTGGGATCCAATCACTTACAGAGGCACGTCGGGCTGACCCACGGTCATTCAAAATCAGCTTCAATTCAAAATACTCTCTCTGATTCAGTTCAGACAATACTAGTTTTCCCAAAGGGAGTTAGGCAAATTTCTAAAACATAGACGAACTTTGCAATTGGGATCCCACCCAATTTTTTTAACACAAGATATTGAAGTAATTACCAACTGTTTTTTGGTTGTTCCCAGGTTGCTAGAAATGTCTCATTTCCATAAAATGTTTACTCATACTTTTACTCAAAATTTCTTATTGCACTGTCTAGCAAATCTTTACTATGGATTTAAAACGTATTGCCAACTGTCTGTGTGAAACAACAGTTTATATTTAACAGCTTTTTATTAATGATACTTGATAAAAGCTCCTTCTGACATAAAAAGAATATGAAATTGACAAAGGTGCAGATCACAATCTGCTCAGTTCAGCCACTACTACAGAGATCTCTATCCTGTCATCCTATGTTAATATTGGTAAATGGTGTTTAGAAACCTAATCCCGTTCAAACAGTGATGAAGTTATCCAGCAATAGCATTAGATTGTAAGATGAACCCAGTGTCATCCTGCTAATGGACAGAGCTGCCAAAAACGTCTGCTGCAAAACCCTAAACCAACTTTTTCTAGTTAATGATCTGTAATAATGGGGCTTTTTAATGTTTATCATTGATTCGAGTAACTTTTTTTGACATTTGGGTATAAAGTGTTTTATTTCTACAATATATGGTGTAAAACCGTCTTAGTGCTGCCCTCTTCAGGTTAAACGGTGGCTACTGCAGTCAAATTTTCCTATTGAATGTTTGCTTTTCTTCATGACATACGCAAGTTTCAGCTCAGCACACCATTGTCTGAGAAAACGAACAGTATTTATATCGTTTTTACCTCTTGTAATCATAGCCATGACAAAATAATCTGACGGCACGGGCGCTTTGGTCTGCGCATGCGCCGGAAGTGATCGCTTGCGTGTGACGTCACTCAATATTTACACAGAGATTTCGGAAGTTTTACCTCACACTAAACATATTTAGATATACAGGAAACCGCAATGGAAGACGATTTCGGTATATCTAAATATGTTTAGTAGAAGGTAAAACTTCCGAAATCTCCGTGTAAATATTGAGTGACGTCACACGCAAGCGATCACTTCCGGCGTAACATTGAACTGATTCAGTTCGGTTCAGTTGGACATTGCACAACTGATTCAGATCACTTGGACGTCACTGTGATTACACGAGGCAAAAACGATATAAATACCGTTCGTTTTCTCACAAAAACCGCTCGTTTCGTGTCTTGTGCCATCAATGTGTTCTTACATTTACGAGTCATTAAATCATGTTTAATTTGGACTTCTCTGTGCATGCTCTTTGGTGGACCCCCTTAGCCTCCAGTGAATGACTGATGACTGACAACAACGGTTTGACTGAAAAATGCCAAAATTGAAAATACTGCGGAAACAAAGACACCTATATCTTGGATGCCCTTGAGGTAAGCTAAAACATATCAAAAATTAATTTCGAAGAGAACTATCCCTTTAAGCACTTGCAGAAACTAGTGGCGCTTTTCCAATACCAGTACCAGCTCGACTTGACTCACGTTTCGCTCCGTTTTCCATTGTAGACAGTACCGCCACAAATAGTACCCGGTCGTCATAGCGACGCATTTCGTTCCTCGTTGCCCCATCAAGCTCTCGCTGGATCCTCTCTTCGACAACCCAACAAAGGAAACTCTGCACCTCCTCGTAAGACCACAGCGTATTCTTCAGAGTTGCCATAAAAATAGTTTAGTAACTATCTCTGGCCAAACTATTTAAAAATGGCGGGGTTATGCTGGAGCTGGATACTGCGCCGGGCGGATGCGATGATGACGCAGTGAATAGTGACGATTCTCTCTGACCAATCAGCAGTCGGCATTGTTTTCACATCACATTTTAGGATCGCCTTAGCTCGCCTCAGCTTGCTCAGAACCTCGCCGGAGGTGATACAAAAAAAAAGTACAGGTACAACTTTTACACAGTGGAAATCCCAAACAAAGGCGAGTCGAGTCGAGCTGGTACTGTGTAGTGGAAAAGCAACACAAACCCTTACCCTGTAGGTCCAATTATCACATATTTGACCATTCGATATAATCTTGACATGTGGTTGCTTGAGGCAGTATACACAAAACAACTTTGTGGGCGAGTAAGTTTGAGCCAATCAACGAAAGTAAAGTTTTAGATCACTCCCTGTAGTCAGAAAGCAACACGAATGCATAAACCATAATAGCAGGCCATGGTTAGCGCTCAGATTCTCTCCACTTCTTCCTGGGTCACACCTTCCCCTGCCTGCAGGAAGAAAGCCTTCTTTATTGCTGTGCCTATTTTTAAAGTTCCTGACTGGTAAAATGGGAAAAATGAAGGGAGAATTGGCTGGTGTGTCACAGTGTGGTGCCACTAAGAAATCGATGGTGTTCCCTGCGCATGCTGCTAATGTGCTGCGGGGCACAGGCTGGGACATGCATATATACGCACACGCGCACATGAGGGGGGTCACTGCCAAAATGTGCCACTTATTGGCAGGCTTATTTTCCCCTCTTGGCGTCATCCTCTACCCACAATGCAAAAATACAACGGGCCTACACAACCAAACACAGCAAGTAGAACTAAATGTGTTTGTAAACGCCAACTCAAGACAGTTGACTTGAATCAGCAATCCCATCTGAACTGATAAAGTTCACACAACAAGATCTTATCCTCTTATCTGAACAGATATCTCATCACTCAATCTGTCCAACATTTGGTCTTAAAGTCCCCCTGTGGTGAAAATCAAGCTTTTAATGTTGTTTACATGTTTTTAATATGCTTTAAGACAAACCATGTGCAAACTCAAAAACTCAAAGTCTCATTGCTGAGTATTTTCTCTTTAAAAACTGCAGTGAACCAAATACGGGTCTCAAAACGCAAGTTGAAATCGCTGGTGTTTATGATGTCGCAAACTACCTTGTAACTACGTTA